CAGTTTGGTTGAATTGTGTCAAATTCATCCTCATTTTTAAAAAAGTTTCATTGTCATCCTCACGTGGTGTAAAAGTTTCATTGTCGTCCTCACGTGGTGTAAAAGTGTCAATTGAATCCAAACATAGAAAAAATTTGTGTCAAAGTAGTCATTTTTCCTATATATCTGTGTCTTCCTTTCATACAATCAAGTACAGATATTCATTTTACCTTATCCAATTTAAGGCTTTTCATAGCTCCAGAGAAGTGACATATGAAAGGAAGACACAGAGATATAGGAAAAATGACTACTTTGACACAAATTTTTTCTATGTTTGGATTCAATTGACACTTTTATACCACGTGAGGACGACAATGAAACTTTTTTAAAAATGAGGATGAATTTGACACAATTCAACCAAACTGGGGACAAAGGAAGCAATTAAACCTATATAATATATTTCATTTGAACAAACAATTTTATTTAACTGAATAGGTCTACTAGCACGGATCAGATTTATATTTTGTTTATTCTTTAATTTTAGAAATTTAAGTTTTCTTATTTCTCTTTCTAAATTTCGGTTACATATTGACTTCTTTTTTACAATCTTACTTTCTTATAATTTTTAACAAAGAAGCATTAGTGCAATATCAAATAATGTTTTTTCATTTGAACTACATCAAAATTTAGTAAGTAACCTAACAAATATAAAAAATATTCTATTAATTATTTGTTTTAAGGTACTAAAGAAATATATTAAAAAAAAGAAATTTTAGTGAAAATTTTGGGATGAGTTACAGGCTAGTTCGAGTAGCTTCTCTAGTTTATTAATTAAAAGCTTCTCAAATTACTTTGGTCCATGTTGCTGTGTTGGATATGACAACATCATTCAAATTGGCTAATACTATACAAACGTTGTCTTCAATGACAGTCATAAGCGTTCTTGAACTTCCATAAGCTCCAACTCGTTGCTGCAAAGACGGACCCGTTGGGAATACATTTCATGTCCAAATATCAAATTATACTCAATATTTATATTCAATCAAGATATTTTTATTCATGTTTAAAATATTTTTCCCATGCAAAATTCCACAGAGGCTAGTGCCAATCTTATTATTATTTTTTTTTCTGCAAAATTCCATAGGATAGTACAAAAACAAATAAGAATGACAAATTTTCTTTAGAAATACATCATTTTTAATATTATTGTTGATTTAGATGGGAGGGAGAAAAGTGAAGAAAAAAAAAATAACAACGGCATATATATAATCCCATAATAAAAGCTGGTATGATATATATTCAAAATAGTTTATGGTCTATTATGGAATATTTGTTCAAAATGAATAAACTTTATTATAAAAAATTTTAAAATGTTAAAAATTATTTTTGAATTACATTTTAAATATTTATTTTGTCGTAATATCTATAAAATATGTGATCAGGAAACTTTTCATACATTCTTAATCATATTTTTTTAAAGTATAAACATTTTAAAAGGTCTTTTCATGATTATGTGATAATGAAGAGGTGCAGAAAGAAATCATAGAGGTGCCTAAGGTAAAAGTCAGGATTCATGGTGGCCTCATTGAATTCTCCATGACCCGTTTGAGCTTTGAAATATCACAATAATGGTGTTGTTCCTTTCATCACCACACTTTTCTTTCTTCACCTTCCCAATTTTCTTTAATTTCAATTATATCTTCAGATTAAATTTTTTTATTTTTATTATTTTACTATTTTAATTTATTTCAAACATAGTTCTCCTACTTTACTCCCTACACCCAATCTTTTCATCTCCCATTTCCGTTTAACAATTTGTGTTTCGTTTTACTCTGCAACTCCATTTGTCTTCTTTGTTTCACTTCTCCTCCTCCGTTTCTTTCTTCTTCATTTTCCTTACATTATTAAAATACATTAAAAATATATTCAAAAATAATAAATCAAAACATTTAAATTAAATTATTAAAATATCTCCAAAATAAAGAATAAACTAATAAAATAAACTCTAAAATAAAAAGCGTAGGTGACATCCTTCAATAGATGTCAACATCTATTTAAGAAAAAACGGATGTCGACATCCGTTTTACCTTAAACGGATGTTGACATTCATCGAAGGATGTTGACATCCGTCGAAGGATGTTGACATCCGTCGAAGGATGTTGACATCCGTCGAAGGATGTCACCTCCGTTTAAAGGTTACGTTTTTTATTTTAGGGTTTTATTTGAAGGTCTATTCGAATAAGCACCTTGGGAAAGCACCACACACACTGCACCACGAGAGCCACACTGTATCACGAGGGAGACTGCTTCATAATTATTTCCACCACCACTAACCTTTGCAACTTGTATCTCACAGCAATGAAAAAAAGAGAAAAAATTATAATGTTAAAATTAAAGAAACATATTTTACTGAAGACTATAATATATTATTAGTGAAATAGATTGTGAATGGGTAAAATTAAAAAATAATAATCTTAAAAATAAAATTTTACTTAAAAACAAAATAATAAATGAGAGATATGGTGAGGGATGAACACCCCACTATAAAAATTCAAAATAGTAACATCATAATGATTATATAGTTATTATTTTGTCACTAAGTTCTTAATTGTTTGTCACAGAATAGGACAATTTCAATATTACTTTTTGCAGAATTTGAATTTCTCTTTTACATTATTTTCTTTTAGTTAAAGCCACTTTTGAAGGTTACGTGTTTTCCACGTACAATGACACATAAAATAACAACAACTTAATGCGCATGGTGTGTGATATAAACTTTTTGAAAGCATTTTTTATATGCTTTCACACATAAAATTTTTCACATCTATTTAGTATTATCATTTTTTATTTTTATTTTTTATTTGAAAAAATACAATTTTTTTATATTTATAACTATTTTATTTTTATATTATATGTTAAATAAATATAAAAAGGTGTCACCGTCTCATTTATATATAATCTTAAAATTTTGAAAATAAGTTAAAAATATCATTTGTTATTATTATTATTATACATACATAGCTTTATCAGGCAGGATTCATAATTTTTAGTGTATATATATATATATATATATATATATATTTTATCTTTTAAATATTTTCTTTTAAATTAAAATTTTAAACTTTATACAAATTTTTAATTAAAAAATTACCTACAAAATAAATAAAAACCATTTATAAAAAAATTATTTATTAATTTTGTAATTATATTTTTTGTATTTTTCTAAATTTATCCTTTATTAAGTAACTATTTACCAATTTTATCATTTAAGTGACATTTCTTTAAGATTTAACCATTTTTTTAATTTAATCTTCTTTTAAACTAAAATAACCATCTCTAATAAAATATTACCTACAAAATAAATAAAAAACTATTTGCAATAAAATTAAAAAAAATTATTTATTTTTATTTTTATAATCATCATTTTATTATTATTTTTATCACAAGAAAAAAAAACACATATGTGTAATATATGTGTTTTCATTATATAAATATATTTTGATATTTTTGAATAATTACTAAAAAAAAATATTAATGTGTTAAAGAAAATTAAAATAACTTGAAGGATAACTACACAAGCAATGAGATTACCCCTATTGTCCTAAAAAAATTAAATAAACTCCAATTTTTTTGATTTTGTCAAATAATTCTTTTAGTCTGAATAATATTTAAAGAATTTTTTCTGCTTTATCCACGTCAAAACACGTGCGTTGAGTAAGCAAAACAGAACCACGTATTTTCTTCCTGGAGTGTGGGGGCCACATTCACGGAATGAACCTATCGTTCTCCTCACTCCGTTTTTATTTCTTTAAGAAAAATTGTAATGAATTAGAAAAAAACAACACACGAAACAAACAAAAAGGACCTATATTATCGCCATGTACATCACTAGGTACGTCATCACAGAAAAAGACTAATACTTTTTATACCTATATAAAATATAAAAAGACAAATATTTTTTTTCTCATTGGAATAGGCTAATATAACATATATTTTTCTTATTCTTTTAAATTAAAATAATTTCATTCTTTTAAATGACTATTAATTTAAATTTAATATTCTTTAAATTAAATCATTATTTTTAATTATTGTATCTTTAAATTTAGTTATTTGAACTTTCTCATATCAAAGTCGTCTACTGGTATTGGTAAATTGTATAATTATTTAACAAATTTTTTTATTAAACAGATTATGAAAATAAGACTTTAATTTAAATTAGAAAATGACACAAACAATGTTTACACAACTACATAATTTTTTTATTTGAGCATCTCTGACTAATTTTCATAATGTGAATTTATTGATTTGTTCTTTTTTAAAATGTTAAATTGGGGGAATAATATTTATAGAATTTTTAAATAATATTTAATAAGTTGAAATAAATGGACACAGACGCACACTCTTTGCATGCCTAACCCTAG